ACCGGTGAGGGCCCCCACCTGAGCCCCAACTCCACCTCAACCCCGCCTCCGCCCTGCCTCTGCTGCCTGGGGGGCCACCCCGGCACCACCCCGCCCCCCTACTTGTGCCAGCGGCGCCACCGCCCAAGTGTGCGTGTCCTGACTCCAAACCCACGGCCCCCCGTCCGCACCCCCAGGCAACTGCCCCGGCAAGACCCCCGCCGCGACCCCGTCCCACGACGGCAGCCAGCTGTTCGTCTACCACGCCAAGGCCGTTGAGGAGCTGCGCGCCCAGACGATCGCGCCCTTCTTCGCCGCGTTTGCCCAGAAGCAGGGCAAGCCCTTTGACCAGGTGTGCCCGGGTCCCAAGGCGCGAACGCCGAGAAGGGCTGCACGCAAGTCTGCGGCCTGTCTGCGGTGTGGGTGTGGGATGGGGACCGCTGCCCCTGACAATCGGTCATGTGGGATCCCAGCCAGACGTTTCGGGACTGGAAATAAGCAGCAGCGCACGCGCCATCGTGGCCGACCTGCGCACTCCTGTCTGCCAGTAGACGCAGCGCCCTCACCCCTCCCTGAATTCTCTCCCGCCTGCCTTCCTCCCTTGCCCCACGCCCTCGATCCCCAGACCAAGTTCACCAATGATCTCAAGACCCTGCAGGCCAAGCACCTGGGCGCCACCCTCACCTACCTCGCCCCCGCCAACTCGCTGCAGCTCTTCAGCGTCTCCATCGACGTCAACGACCCCAACGCGCCGCCGGCGCCGGCCACCAGCACCGCCCCCAACGCGGCCAACGCGGCCAAGCCCAGCACCGCCCCCAACGCGGCCAACGCGGCCAAGCCCAGCACCGCCCCCAACGCGGCCAACGCGGCCAAGCCCAGCACCGCCCCCAACGCGGCCAACGCGGCCAAGCCCAGCACCGCCCCCAACGCGGCCAACGCGGCCCAGCTGAACGCTCGCAACCTCCCAATTTACACGGCGGACGGGACCCCCAAGCCCACTACTCCTTGATGCGGCCGTGCCTAAGGCGGGCACAACGCGGGGGCACGCACCCACTCTGGCCCCAACTCGCCGGAGAGCGTCATTTTTGCGGGCCGCCCCGCCCCTTACTTATTGATACGCCAGTCATCTGGCGGATGGGAGGCATTCGTGTGCCGGATTTCGGGCGCGAGGGTTGAGACGGTTTCACCCCGACAGGCAAGTGTGGCGGAGTGGTGGCGCAGTGGCTGCGGCCCGAGGGGGCTGGGAAGCCCTGGCCCCCAAATGGCGCGCTGCTGCACATCAAGAGATGTGTGTAGTGTCACACTTGCCTTTTACGGGTGCTGTGTTGCTGTGCCCAAGGGTGGCCAGCCAGAGTATGCAGATTGCTGGCTGCTTGCGCGCACACGTCGGCCGATTTGCGGCCGAGTGCAGTGCATGATAGACACTCGTAGTGAGAGAGAGCGAAGCGCTCAACACCACCCCACCGCGAGCGCTGCGCGCCTGCGTGTTGGGGCTTGGGTTCTTTTTGGCCATTGCGCAGTCTGCCCGCGCCTTCATGCGCACAGATGCGAACCCTGCATTTGCACCCTCCCCGGCCATTGACGCCCACGCCGTGCAGTCTGCGCGGCACAAACCACCACACCACCGCTGATAGTGCGGGAGAGAGGATTCCCGCTGTGCTGCTCACTCACTGCCGAACCCCTGGACCCCCTCGCACGGGCGGCTGCCACTTCTTGCACAGACACGCGCACACCTAAGGTTGAGATGCAGAGCTTGTGTGTGGACTGTGCGCGAGATTTTTGCAGGGGCAATTTATCTGCGCGATGCGCGCCTCCAGGATGTGTCTAAGTACATTCGTACACTCTATCAGTCCTTTTTACGGTGTGATCGACCGCTAGGCTACAGCTCAATACAATCGATTGTGGCCCGTGTACTGCTGCGGCCTGAGCGATTGGTGGGAAGAATAGTGCTGTGCTGGGAAGGCGTGTGAAGCCAGGCCGCAGCCCCCTGTGGGGTAGGCGTGGTGATCACCTGGCCAAGCTGTTTGTGTTGCACGCCAGCAGCTTTGGGTTGACCCTGGCCTGCAGGCAGCTGCAACCATGCATGCATTTGTGATGAGTGATTCGTGAGGTGTGTGCACGCATGTGCCTCATGCAGGGCAATTTGGTGTCTGGAGAATTTTACAAAAAGAACCTTCCTGGTGCAACCTTGCCTGCAGCTTGTGAGTAATGATGTTTTGGGACTTGGCATCCCAGAGCGAGAACATGCACAAGAAACTAAATGACAGATTACCTTACAGCAGGAAAGCCAGCAGCATGTGGATAGCAACAGCAGGATATGTCGGGCCAGGATGGCAGGCAGACACAGGTTGTCAGTATGCTGCGTAATACACCAGACGACGCAGCGGGTGGCAAATGGAATGTGGGGAATCTGCGAGAGTGCCCTAGGTGTGCAGGCTGCTGTGCTGGCTGCCCGCCACCGGCCTCGACCCGTGTGCTGCGGCGGCGGCAACGCTGCCTGGATCTGGACAATCTGGGTTCTTGATCAACGTATGGGGCTGCCTGGTTGTGTTGGCCCCTGGAGCAAGAGGTGTGTGCGAGGGTTTGTAGACCAAGAGTGGAATGGAGGCGTCACCGGCCAAGCCGGCACCAGGCCGTGCCCAAACCGCACTGGGTCGGCACGCGAGGGGCAGGAACCTGTCTAGCGCGTTACAAATGCAATGCATTCTGCTTTACGATATTGTGCGCAGAAATGGCGAATTCGCAGCGGGGGCGGGGCTTATTGGTGATTTTGATTAGAGGATGACCACTTCAAGGGGGCATTGCTGGGGGCAGGTGATATATTGGATGACTGCGCCTTGACAGATCAAATAGCGTCTGGTTCCACATCCAATCGTCGTGCACGCCTCATATTCACCCACCAAACCGCGCGATCTGTTGGCGGCAGTCTCCTGCCAACGCCCAGACCAGCGCGCCTTCCTCCACAAATTCACCGTAGCCTTTAATCACCTCATTCGCGATGCGCGGCTTCACCTCCTCCTTGGTGGCGGCCCTGCTGCTGGCCGGCGCGGCCAACTCATTGGCTCAGGAGTGCATTGGCACCGGCGCGTCCGTGTCGCTGGGTGAGACTTTGGCCCCTCAAGATCAATTTATGCACAAATGCCAGTGCGCAGGGCTTCTGCCGCGCCGCGCTGGTTGGTTGCGTTGGCTGGGCCAGCAGGGCGCCGGATGACTATGCACTAAGATGATCGCATCGATTGCAGGGCCGCCCAGCATCCGCAAATTTTGGTGGCGCACGCGCTCGGCTCGGCGCGCGTGAACGTGCATGCGACCCGACACACTTCGGAGCAGTCAGCAAGCCTAGACGTGCCGTTTGCACGTGCGAGTCGGCCCTCCTACGCCAAGCGGGCGCAGCACCCTCAGCCCCCGAGCAGCACCACGCACGGCTGCCGTGCGCCCGCACTCAACACCCCCCCTTCCCCCCTCCCCCACACCCTCAACCCTGCATCCCACAGTCAATGGC